TTACTTTCTTTAATTTTACTTGAAATTTCCTTCATTTATTGTTCATAACAACTTTGTTTTAAACATAATTATGCATTTTCTTCAATCATGTTTCTCTATGTTACCAACTTTATCAGTTATAATATACTTAACTTTTTTTTTATAAATGTTTTGTGTTTGTTGTGGGGAATATGATGTTATTTGTTAAATCATGTTGCAAAGGACAATAAATTCAAACCAATGCTTATTTTGAAGGTAGTTTGAGTTTTCATTTATCTTTTGACCTACTACAAAGTTATCTCATTATTTGTAATGAAAGAACAACAAGCACATGGTACAAAATCAACTCATTAGTTTCTATATTATTGATTGCTTAGAAGACTTGATAATCTTTTTTTTTGAATTTTTGTTTATTGAGAGTGTTTATTGATTTTGTGCCTGGAGCAAAGGATAGGAAGTTGAGAATACAGGGAGCAGTTATAATGCCTACTAAGGTGCTTATTATCACAAGCATGAAATTTCTTTCTGATTAAGGCAATTCAACTTTTCATTTTTTTGTTATATTACAAATCTATATTATGTAACACCTGGTTTTGAAAGTGCTTCGTTGCTAGGGGCTGCAACCCAATCATCAGTTGTCATAAGGGTTAAGGCTTTGGGAAAGGAAGGATTTGGCCCAGTTCGGATGTGGGTATACCCAAGTGTTTGATTGTGTCTTCGGAGGCCAAGGGTATGATCGTAATTTGACATCCCGACCTTATAGGGATTTTGGGTTCTTGTTCGGAAAGTTGTTAGGTAATGATGAGTTGTTAGAAGCATTGGGTTTCTTGCCATCTTTTTGTGGATATAAGGTTCGTTGGAAATGGACCTCGGATGAGGAAGTTATGACATTTTGAAGCTATTGGCAATATTGGTCCTAATGAAGATTTGTGGCAAGGCAGTCCCATGCATGCATGGAACGCATGTGTGTGTTTGGATGGGTACACCCAACATAGGCTGGGTTATGCCCAATGTACTAGGTCTTTTGGTCGTGGGTGGTTTGTGAGTACGTTGGGCGTACTAAGAGGTATGTGGGGCGTACTTCATTCAAACCAAAACCCTAATTTTAGGGTTTGGCACTATATAAGGAACATTATGCCTCAATGGTCAGCCTCCCTTTCACCCTAAGGCAACTATTACGAAACCTTAATCCCTTGTTGGTATGGTTTGAGCTTAGATGATCATTTTGGAGTGCATTTTGGTACCATGAAGGAAGGTGACCATTGTTGAAGCATCATCAAAGGAGCCAAGGAGTATAGATCCAGAACCTTATCAACATTTGGCATTCATATAAGGTATAAAGTTCTGAACTTGGTGGTTTTTTTCTTAGATCTTTTGAATTGGGGTTTTGGACCTTTTTGGTCCCAAGAATGGAGCTTTATGGTTCCAAATCCGTTTCTAGGCTTAGGGTCGCCACCCTTAGTGCTATTTTAGTCCGAAAGGCAGAAAAGTTACCATCTTGAAGGTCTTAATGGGTTTATGCAAGAGCTAGGACCATTTTCATGGAAGTAGAATATTATTTTTGGAGTTTGGGTTTATATGGGGCATGCAAAGTCACCAAGTCAGTGACTTTATGGGTTTAAATGATAAGTAGAGCTCAGATTTGTGATTTGGTCCCTTAGTTTGAGGAATTAAGTGCTTAATAATAAAAAGAGCTTAACAGAGCAGTAAGTTGTGTGTACAAGCACATACGTGCAGCGTACAAGCCAAAAAGCAGGTACGCGTAGCGTACAACCGAGTACGCCCCACGTACTCAGTCAGAGTGGGTTTCGCACAAATGGGCCTCGGTTTGGGCCATTTATTGGAATTCTTAGATTTGGGCCTTATGGGCCATTTAGAATCGAAACTTTGGACTATAGATGAATTATTGGGCCTTAAATTGAGGCCCATGTGAAGGGATTGGGCCCAGTTGGAAATTAGGCCATATATTGGGCCTTGTATGAGTGTTTATCTTTTTCGGCCAAGAGTTGAGTAGAGTTTATTTTGAGACAAGAGTATGTGAGGGGTAGAATGGTCTTTTACCCCAGTGAGGACTTATGGTTAAGTTGTGAGAATCCCGAACTTAACTAGTTTATATGATGACTAGTAGCTCGAGGAGTTAAGAGATCAGTAGTTTGGGGATCTAGCTACCAGCTATCAGCCAGAGGATTATCCATGAGATCTAGCTTCACGAGGTGAGTTTCCTCTTGTTTGAACAGGTGGAAGGCACCAATGTCGACACGTATTTATGTTATGTGTTTCCGGATTACGATCTGATGCCGGTGGTGCCCGAGGAATGTTGGTATGCTTGATCTCTTCGTGATTCTTGCATGTGTCTGTATTTATGTTATGTGTTTCCTGATTACAGTCCGATGTCGGGCAGGGCCCGAGGAATGCTTATATGTAGATTTCTGGACTATGGTTCGATGTCGGATGGTACTCGAGGAATGTATCCATGTTTAGTTATATTTGTTGTCTATGTGATACTTGTATGTGCCTGGTAGGGAAGTGAGTGTGGGCGGATCTCGTATCTCGTCACTAGTTGAGTGTAGATGGGGTTCCATATCTCATCATTAGTAGAGTAGGGGCGGGGCCCATGATAGGCGAGGCCTTAGGACTGTAGCATGTAATACTATGTGTGATTCTTTATGTGCTAGCATGATTATATGTTATTGTTTGTATGTGTATAGCGGGCGAGGCCGAGTGACAGGCACGGCCTGGGAGAAACAAATTTGTATATTGAGCGGGGCTGGATGCCAGGCGGGGCCTAATGCCGAACAATGTCCGATGTCGGGCGGGGGCCCAGTATATGTGATAATGTGTATGGTATGTGTTAGTATGGGGAACTCACTATGCTTTGTGCTTACGATTTTCAGTTTTGGTTTCAGGTACTTCCAATTGCAAAGAGAAGAGCTCGAGATGACTGCATTACACACAACATGATGTTTAGCCTGGGATGTTTACTTTGATGTTTTGATATGATACTCTGATTTGACGTTTGGAATACTATGACTTATGTTTTTATGGAATGATTTTAATAACTACGGTTTATTTATCATGATTTTTAGGATGCTTTATATTACTTCTAATGAAATAACATCTAATTTAGTGCAATTTTATTGGAGCTATTACATAAAAGAAGCCATTAATGTTGGAGCCAATTTGTTGCTTGAATGATGATATGTAGGTTTGGAGAAGCAGGTTAATTAAAGGTCAATTTGGTAATCTTTATTGGGTAAGTAATGGAATGGTTCATTCCTTGGAATGAAAAAGGTTTGTTTTATCGAATACTAAGGAAATGGCATGGAAATGGAACATTTCCTTCCTTCATTATTTTGTTCCACCCAATCAAATAAAGAATTTTAATTAAGGATGAAAATGTAATAACTACTCAAGTTTTGTTATTGAATTCCTTTTCGTTTCTTGCCAATAAACCAAGTTATAGATTAAAATCTTTGAGATTCCAATTCTGACAAGTTCCAGTGTAACATCCCAAGTTCAGAAGCAAGAAGTTGAAGGGTGTTATGTGAAAATTAAGGAAGGGACTCGACGAGTAGGTCTCTTGACTCGTCGAGTTGAAGCGAGTGCCAAGAACGTGATTAAGTGGCCTGACTCGCCGAGTCGGCGGCTGGACTCGACGAGTTAGTGCTGGAAGTGGAAAACCCTAATCTTCGGGTTTGCACCCTATTTAAAGGACATAATGTCCTCCCCTCAGCCCCCTTAGCACCCTTTGAGATCCAGAAACCCTAAATTTGTGTAAGAGTCCATGGGAAGCAAATTGGAGCTTAGATAAGTGATTTATGAAGAGATTTTGAAGATCAAGAAGCTTGGATCAAGGAGATTTGTCGAGATTCTGATTATTCATCAGTGGGAGGTCATTTTCGAGGTAATGAATCTTTATCCTTGGTCTTCTTCTTTCTAAATCCATCTTTCATGGAGTTTTAGGGTTTGTTTGGAGATATTGTGATGAGATATTGGTGGATGAGTTAGATCTGGAGCTGAAACTCCAGATCTGAGTTCTATTTGGATCAAATATGCAGAAAGCCCTTTTAGCTGCTATGCAAAATCCATTCACCATGAGTTAAGTTCCTTTCTATCTTGGTTTTTGGAAGTATGGGACATGAAGCACGTAAAGGTGGCAACTTTATGTTGCTAATGGACTCTAGAGACCCAGATCTATTGTTTGGAGCAAAGGAGTAGCTCTATATCTCTCGAATTTGGGAATGCACATATGTACGCGACGAGTCTGGGAGATGACTCGACGAGTTGGGCTAGGGTTCAGGCTTTGAGTCGCATAGTGACTCGGTGAGTCGCATAGGTGACTTGGCGAGTCATATGATCATGAGCTTGGACTCGACGAGTTGAAGAACAACTCGGAGAGTCTAATGAAGATTATCGTGGACTCGACAAGTCTGTTCTTGGACTCAGCGAGACACGACGCAGAACCTCTAACCTTTTCTAGTTAAGACTCCGAGCAGTGAGTTGAGTGGTGATTCAGTGAGTTGGGCAGGATGGGACTCGGAGATTGCTGGACTCGACGAGTCATAGGGTGACTCGGCGAGTTGAATCAATCGGAAGGTTGACTTTGACTGAGGATTTCAACTTTGGCCTTCAGGGGTATTATGGTAATTTGGATATTTATGTCAGTGGATCATTGATGATTATAGGTGTTGGAGTTAGAGTCAGTGCTTCGAGATTTAGCTTTCGTGGTTCGGTTCGACAATTTGCAGTTGAGTTATCCTCAATATATCAACAGGGTCTACGGCACCAAGGTCGGCCCTTTATCGGATGAGGATCTGGGTACTTGTTTGATATGTTATTGATATGCTAGATCTGCATCCTGGTTAGGATGGTATTATGTTTGTGACTGGTTAGGTCGGAATCCTGGTTAGGATGCTATTATGCTATATGATCTGATAGAACCGTTTGTTTGGATGAGGATTGTTATGTGATTAATTATTGTATGTGCACATGGTTGCTTGAATGGGGTTGGGTTGAGGCGGGTCCTGCTTTGTGCTGTAGGACAACATACCTAGGGCGGACCAGATAGACCGAAGGCCCAACGAGCTGTCCGGATAGGCTGAAGGCCCCAAGTGGGCGGTCCAGACGTGCCGAGGCTCGGAAAGTGGACCAGGCTGACTGAAGGCCCGGTGTGGGCGGACCAATCATACTGTAGACTCGTAGAGTGGACAACGTAGACTGAAGGCCCGGTGCGAGCGGACCAGTCACACTATAGACTCGATATGCATGGTTGTTCTATTTTGTGATATGATATGATTATGGTTATGTGTGGCTGGTATTTTGGGGGTAACTCACTAAGCTTTTGGGCTAATAGTTTCAGGTACTTCAGGAGATCGTGGATAGGCAATGGCGTGATCGTACCGCTCCTCATTTTTACACTGATTTTTCTGGGATACTCTGATAATAATCAAATTGAAAACCTTTTCATATTGATTTATGGATTTCAGTTGTTTTTGAAAAGTTTAAATTGGTTGGAAAATTTTGGTTGTTACAAGTTGGTATCAGAGCCTTGGTTTGAGTGAATTGGAGGAACATTCGTGTGAATCCAGTCTTAAATCAAGGGGAGTTCCAAAATGATTTTCTAAATGATTTTCTAAATGGTTTTCAAAATGAGTAAAAGAGGAGGTAGAGTGTACGATTAGCGCAAGCCAGTAAGTTGACCTCAAAATACCATACAGTTATTTGATTATGTTATATGTTAGAAAAACATGCTAGTATTAGGCTAGGGATCTTCAGGGATTGCATGATAGAATTTCCTAATTACATGATGCCTGCTAGCCTAGGGTTTCCCTTAT